ATAATAATAATAATAATAATAATAGAGGTGGCCAGGCTGAGGCTTGGAGCCACATGTGGCTCTTTGAGCTCATTTTGCAGCTGGCCACTTGCTGTTCACTGGCCATTGCCACTGGCCATGGGCGGCTGCTTGCTTCTTGTCACCCACAGGCACCTGCATGTGGCTCTCAAGCGTCCAACATTTCCTGGATGTGGGTCTTCCACTGAGCAAGTCTGCCCACCCCTGCTATAGACTGCGGCAGTAATTATGAATTTAAAGCACCCTGAGCTCTATATCAAATGTTAAGAAATGAATTTTAAATCTTTGAGTCATTTATTAAAGTGTGTTAGAGAAATTAGCGTCATACGATCACTGCCAAAAGTAAGTGTACTACATGCCAGAACAGACCCCATCCAAAGCAAAACTTGTCAAAATAGATAAATATAGTAGAAAGAAGTCAAAATATTAGCACAAAACTTAGGATCCATTGCAAATGTCATCCTACTGTACTACAGTATCTCCAGGTAGCTAGAAAAGACCTATGCTGAGATTCACTACTACTACTGTCAGTCATATTTCTGGGTATCTCTACTTGAGGAATTAGGGGGCATTTCATTCTGGATCTTCCAGAGTGCACAAAGGACATCTCTGATCCGAAGAATGAAAACTACGTATTACTAAATCAAGAGCTCAGACAAGTAGATTACTTGTGACCATATTACTAAGCTGTCTGAAGTGGACATTGGAAGCAATACAGGCCAGCCTCACATGTCCATCCATTGATCTTCCTTTCTCTGGTCTTGAATAATATATCCTCAAGTTATGTTCCTTAGACTTGCATTTTAGGGCATATGAAATGCTGCAGTTCATTCCTACATGTAAGCCATCATTTGATGATGCATCTTTCAAGGTGGGAACATGGTTCCTGGTTCTATGCCAATCCATGCAGCGAATGGCAATCACAACCAGACTGAGCCTGCGCAAACATAAAAAGCCTTTTTAGGAAGTATTCTGGTAAGGCTAATAGTGCTCACTCTGAGTACAGCATGATGTTTACAGCTGTTCTCAGGTTGTCATTTGAGTAACTTAGAAGGTTAATACAGACTAAAGATTTCTGTGCTTGCTGTTGTCTTCTAAGGGGACAGATGAAGAACGATTCGTCCATGTGACCCCAGTATCTTAATGTGAAAGTTTGGTTGAGAAAGGTTTAAGGCTTTTGTGATGAACCTATGCTAATGATAAGGCTTGAACAACATTTAAGAAATAAAGCAACAAAAGAGTTTCTGAATCCACAGGATTTAGCAATTTTCCAAATGTTTTGACAGTTCTCAGCAGCTGAAACTATATACATAATTCCAAATTTAGACATGCAGTTTTAGAATGGCATTATGTAAATCTGCAATAGCAAAAGAAAACTCAGTAAACTTTAAAAGGTAATATTCTCCATCCATTATTTGCCAAAATAATGCCATGTGTCCATTTTAGCTATGGTGCAAAAGAGCAGTAACTAAGATCATTCATTAAATGATATACTGTGTAGACTTGCTAATTTCTGGATGGGTGTTTGATTCCTCTTGATGACCATATCTATCATTGTCTGCTATTGCTAGGGTGATTTCCAGGACAATGAGTCATCTTTCTTGCATGACTTATGTATTTTGTATCCCACTGATCGCTATCAAAGCTCTCAGTGCAGTTTGCAGTGGTTATTTTGGCTAATTTAACGGCAACCCTGCCCTTTCTCCACAGATTCCAGCATTTATTCTATCTCACACTTCTAGCCCAGAACACTGGATTCTTCCCAAATTCAAGCCTACCTAACAACAAGAAACTACTGATTCCCCACCATATGCTAATATGTCTGCTTTTTGTCCCCTATCTTAATCCAGTCAACCTTTTGTGTCTTTCATGCCACTCTTGCAAACTGCCTGATTCTCCTCACCCCGCCAACTGTGTTCTTGACTATAAAGTTATAAAATCCCCTATGTGACATGTTTCCTTGTAGTACCTTGTGGGCTTCCTACATGCTGCATCCATTTCCTGTATGTCTGAATAAACGGTAATGTCCTTGACTGTATTCTCCCAGCATGCCTGTTCTCTCTGACTTTTGCCACCTGAGAGACCATTCTGGCTTGGGGGCATATTGTTATGGTACTAATATTGATATACAATAGTAGTATAAAAGTTGATATATATGCATGCTACATGAGTACAATACCACTTTTTGAATATCTGAAGCATCGCCATGCAGAAGAGGGCTGCAACCTGTCCGCTATCTTCCAAGACTTGAAATAATGAGCTTATCTTATAAGAAGGCAAATTTCAGTGAACATCGAAAAAGACTTCCAGGCAATCATAGTAACAGACAACTGCCCAGGGAGGTGGTGGCCTCTCCATTGGTGGAGGTATACAAGCAAAGACTGGCCAGCCATCTGCCCAGCTTGCTTTAAACTGGATTCTTGAGCACAGTAGCGAGTTGGTTTCAATGGCCCTTTCCACTCTATTATCTTTTCCACACTCCTAAGAATAACAGGGAAACCAACCTTAATTTGTGTAACTAGTTTGCTGAATGCCACAGGTCTTTATCACAATGATTCCATCATTTAAGCCATCTCATAAGATTATTCATCCAATGATTCTCAGCCATTAGGATAGAGAAAGTACTAAGACACTACAACTTCCACTTTCAAAATAGAAACATGTTGGCTACATGTTTTGGCACTTCTACATATTACAATTCAACAGTCATATTAGTGTGATTTTCTTTAGACAACTGTTTACACATACACTCCAGGGTAAGTGTATTGTTTCCATTGTTTCCGGGTAAGGCCAAAAATGTATAACGCTGTTTTGCTGGTTATATTATGAGCATCAAATGATAACTGAGAAAGCCCACAGTGCAATCCAGAAACCATATAAATGTGAATTGTTGGAGGAAGAAAAGGATAAATATAGTAACTATACAAAGAAGTTCATTAACTACAGTACAAAATTGTGTAGGTATGTCACATTGCAGTAAGATGCTTTAGTTATAAATGTCAAATAAACAAGTTATGTGAAAGATCTCCAACTGGATCTATCGCCTGTAAAATAAAATCAGCCAATAGCAAGGTGTGGGTGTTAAATTGGATCAACCCAGTACAGACTTTTGCCCAATGCCATTTTTCTGGTTTGAATTGTCATTCTTCATCCCTTGAAGAAAAAGAAAGAGAACTTGGGTGGCAAAAAAGGCTAATGTGGTTAAGACAACACTTTAAAGAACATTTTGTGTTTTGATCCAAGCAGGTGCAACTTCAGCAACCCCTCCAAACGGAAGTTTCCACTTCTCTTGTGAGGATTAGAGCCAAAGCCACCTATTTTCTAATCACAAGAGGTATGACTATTGGAGCAGAATTTCTGCAGGCATATATAGTAATATCCCTGTCATCAGACTCCTAGTTTCTTATGGTAGCTCTTTAAAATAATTTCCTTGCACAAAATTTTGTATATCATTCCATATTAAACAGCACAGGTGCTTTTATTTTATTACAATTACGTGTGTTGAAAAGTCACAATTACATGTGTTGAAAAGCTGTGGCTTCCTAAACCATGGTCTAAGGGAAAATACAACACATGCTAACTTGATGCAGTGCTGCCATACAAGATTTTGCCTAGAATCTAGGCCCTAGATGGACATATGCAAGAAGCACATCCTGTATAGATAGAATAAATCCATTTATCAAGCAGAGAAATGTTTAAGTCAGTAAAAATTGACCAAGTTTAGCATCTATGCAGGAGTGCTTTTGAATAGTACACAGAAAATTAATTGGTCCAAAAAAACAGTGACCAGGTTGTTAGTGGAGGCCACTTACAGAGAAACATATAATTGCCTTGCTGAAACTATTACATTAGCTTCTGATTTATGTGGCCAGTTCTAAATTATTGTAATGTCCTTTTACAGTGCATTATTTATTATTTATTTTTAAAAAACGTTTATATACTGTCCACTACCAAGGTCCTGGGACAGTCTTACAATAAAACAAAATGGAGCACAGCATCCACATTGATTTTCTATATAATAATACCCTAGATTAAAATCAGACTCAGACCTTAAAATAATGGGAAAATAGAAAGGTTTTAGCCTGGCGCAGGGAGGAATAAAGTATTGGTGCCAGACAAACCTCTCTGACAAACGTATTCCATAACTGAGGCACCACTGCAGAGAAAGCCCTTCTCTGGGTAGCCACCCTCCTAATCTCCTTCAAGGAGGGCTACTAAGGAAGAACCTCCACCCCAGATCTTAAGGGACAGGTAGGCATATAGGGAAGGAGACACTCCTTCGGATATCCAGGTTCTAAGCCATTTAGGGCCATAGGGCCATCACCAGCACCTCAGGTTAGGCCTGGACTTCAATTGGTAACCCGTGTAGATGGTAAAAGACCAGCATTATATGTGCATACCTGCTGGTCCCCGTTAACATCCTGGCGGCTCTGTTCTGAACCAACTGAGCTATCCAGATAGTCTTCAAGAGTAGTCCCATGTAGAGCTGATTATGATTTGGAAACCTGATACCTAAATATCACCTTATATTGTATGAATCTTTTCACTTTCTAAGAAATGCATTTTTATGTAGCAGAAATATATTTGGTCAGAACTACTGAATGCCCTCCCAAAGGAGATCTATTTTGTCCTCTCATTAATGGCTTTTTGGTATGCAATGAAAACCTTACTTTTAGGAAGGCTTTTGTGAGTTAAGCTAAATTAAAATCTGGTTTAATATTGGTGGATGCTTTTTGTTCTGTTTCTAGCTTTGGTGTGTTTGTATTTTTATGTTTGTAATATGCTTTAATTTTCTATAGATATTAGTCATGCTAGACATTGGATACAAAGGAGGGTAAGAAATGTTTAAACAAAATGAATAAATAGAATTACTATTGGCTGCATGTGTTAACACTACTCAGACCTTCATATCAATGTAAGTCTGAAGTAGTAATATTTGAAACATATTTGATAAAATCTGAAGCATATAGCTGGAGACCACGCAGGACAAAACATACTTTATTGTACTGCAACATCAAAAATACATATAGAATAAGGACTGTGCCAATGACAAGTTGCCAGACTAATGAAACTCAGCTATTAAAATAACAGCGATCTACTGAAGTCAGTAGCCAAGATTACTCATCCGAGGCACAATACACTATTTTTAAAATATCCTTCAATTTAGCTGCAGCACACAATTCTACATCTTTTCCCTCTAATTTGCATATTAGAGCTACTTCAGGCAAAGAAGGGTGCCCAAATTGCAGATCAATGGCCAGAATGCTACCTATGGGGTGTAAAACAAAACCACAAGCCCCCTCCAGTTTGCTAGTTACCTAGGGGAGGTAGGGGTCATGGAACCAAATTCCTAAAGGCACTTGCAGTGGCATGCACCCTCCTGCCCCATCCTAGCCACTGCAAATGTGGTTAGGATTGTAGTAATGACAATCATTCCACTGCTAATAGAGTGTTTTCATTCCATTCCTTGTTCATTATTAGAAGTTATCAGGTGCTTAATAGTGAGTTGCAATAAGGCAAATACCTTCTCTATGAAATAGCTAGTACTGACAAGGAGAGTATAAATTGGAATTAATTTTCTTAGATGCAGCTCTTTTTTTTTGGATTTCCACAAAGCAGTCGGGGGGGGGGGACCTAACTTGAGCAGGCCACTCTGGCAACAATGTTTGGGCACCCCTGAGAAAGGAGAATCTACAGAAACATTTGCTCAGATGAGCATGATCCAATATTGCAACACAATTAACTGTTACAAAAAGCACCAGGTAACCCAGCGACTAACCACAGCTACATGAACTTGTTATGCTGCTAAAAGCAGTAAAGGTCCAGCACCACAATGCTAAGATGCAACTAAGAGTAAGTGCTCTGACATCAGATGCAGCATTTGAAGACAAGTTATTAGCCACTTGAACAGCTGTAGATCAGAATACTGGCTGTACACATGATTACACATGCTGGCATGCCCTTTTTCTTTTCAGCCAGGTTTTAAATGCAAAGCTACAGGTTAAAAGGTGGGGTGGGAACTATAAGATTAAGAGTTGCAAATTTTCTATGTAAGGAGGTCAGCCAAGAGAAGGGGTGGGAAATGCTGCAGCTATAGCAACTGCTCAATCCTCATCATTACCAATTTAGTTTTGAAACAACACCAGATTGGACAGCCATTTCTTAATACCATTGCGTAAGTTACATCTGGAAACTGGAAAGACAAGCAGTTTTGTCCTCTTTTTCTGCCTTTTAAAAGGCTATAGTCATCACCAGTCTTATGGTGGAAGGGGTGCTTAAGTAAATGAGGAATGACAACTTTGGGTTACACAAAGCAAAAGACTCAGACAAGCACAGACTCTGTACTACCAGTGAACCCAACAAGAATATAAATCAACGGCTAGCACAAACTTGACTAAACACTGAACCTTTAGCGCTTGTCACAAATACAATCTCTTCTTAGGTCAGGTGAAAACGTCTGGCTAAAAATGAATTAAGAACTTAGAAGAAAAATTGAAATAAATTAAAAGACATTGCTAGACTAAAATTTCTTAATGCAACAGGTTTTGCTAACTAAAAATTCAACAGATTTCTCTCCAATAAAAACAGATACCCCAATTCCTTTCAAGATGATTTGTAACAACAAGTGCATACGTATCTGAGACTGAGGAAGAAAAGGCAAAGTTACAGCATCCATACAGCATTCTCTAAGAACAACTGAGAGAAAGGGGTAAAAAAAGAAAAAAGGAACGTTTCCATCTGGAATTCTTACACTTTTTCCCTCTCTGCAGTTCATGAATCCAGCGCTTGATGCTAAGGTGACAGTGTATGTAAGTATATATTTTTGTTGATTTTTCTCTTTTTAAAAGTTTCAACAGAGAAAGCCTGAAGACAAGGAGATGTCCATTCAAGAGTTATCAGATGGAACATGCTCCTCAAATCCCTCACTCTCTCGGACTAAAGCTCTTTCGAGGATAACACGGCCTTCCTTGTAGCGCTGGCTGTCTTCAGTTGCAAATTCATAAATCCAGCCTAGCTTGCTGTTGCAGTTCTTGCAGCTCACGTCACGAACCATGTGGCGGCCAGTGAGCATGACTCGGTCCTGGACTTCACTGTACTGCAGATTTACTACCTGTGATAGGTAAAGGGATAAAAATCACTTGAGGCATATTAAGTCTATAGCAAGGGCTTGTAATTGATACCACTGACTAGACAACTTTGGGGGGTTCTTTTGCCTATCCTTTTGTAACAAGGTAAAACTTACAAGCATTAAATAAAGCTTCCCTTCTCCCAAAATGGTCCTTACCAATGTGAAACAGAAAGTTAAGACACCAAAAACCACAATTGTGAGTGGACTCCCACATATTTCATTTCCAGTTCTTCTACACCAGTATCTTTCACATTTTCAAACTTCTCTGCAACTAAGGCTAACTTTTTTCAAAATAGTTTGCTGAGATTCTCAAGCTTTAATAGCAACTAATGAGCCATATAATGGCTGCCATTGCAGTAGTAGTTTAGGACCTTTATAGGTGCAGAACCTTTTTCTGCCTCAGAGTAAGATTATTTCTAGGCAAATACATCAAGGTTCACATGCCAGCAGTGAGTAGAGGCACGCTACTGCTGGCATGCAGCCTCTGTATGATGGCCAAACAGCATTTGCTCATGTGTGTGTGTACACCCATGCACACACAGAGTCTCTGCCACCCCACACACACTCACATCACTCCTCCAGAACTATAGTCAGGTACTATGTCAGAGATATGGGATCTCCCTTTCTCTCTTACATGCCTTCAGGCTTTCAAGAAGCCCTCACTGGTACCTGTGAGCCTTTTGACTGCTGCAGGGGAGGGGTGATTTTCCAAGAGGGGTAATAAAGTTAGCAAGTGAAAATTTAGCTCATCCCTCCCAGGCAACAGCACCCTAAACTATCCTGCTTAGATAAGGGTTTTAGAAAGCTCCCAGTGGTACTCGTTATTTATATCTTTTTAAAAAGCCTCATTGCACCATGCAAAGGTGGAAGGGAAATCTTTGATTTCCAGTCAATGGTAAGAGATAAAAAAAGCTGATGAGCCAAAGGTTTCCCATGTCTGATGTAGAATATGATTGGCTGATGACACAAGTACATGCAAGAAAATAGGTACCGTATATACCAGCGTATGACATTCAAACCAAAACAAACAAAGCAAAATTGGCGGGGGGGGTGGTCTTCTTATATGCCTACACATATGAACAGCCCAAAATATTAACCTATTCTTAAATGTAAGTCACCTTATACACTGATATATATGGAATTTTTTGAAACATACTTTCTGGTGACATTACTGTATATATCAGCATATAAGACAATATTAAAACCAAAAATAGTGAAGTGAAAATTGGGGGTGTCTTATATGACCAACATATGATAAAGCAAGAAAAACAGCCCAAAATATTGGCCTCATCTTATATGCCAGTTGGCTTATCTGCCGGTATATACAGTACTTGCCCTATATAAAGCAAATATCTGTCCATAACATTCAATATACAAGGTAGCCCTTAGCCACTGTTGTTGCCATGTTTCTATACAACTCTCAGACTGGCGTATTCTGTTCCATGCAGTAATGCCCTGCAAGAAAAAAATATAGTGATCCCATCCCTTAAGGAATTTTTGTTTTAACTAACCTTGTTAAATAAGAAGGCTCGTCCAGTAGCTCCTGTGAAACGAGTAGATATGAGTTCTGAGCGGTTGGTCAAGATTGTGTCACAATTTGCACAGGAGAACAGACGAGTACCACCAATATGATCCAGGAAAATCCGCCCCATTTTTAAAGTACAGTGGAGCTCTAAAAGAGAGAAGAAAGATACTGCATCAGTGCTGACAATCTGAAAAAGCGTCAAGATCTGCCATTAACCCACCTAGTTTCACTCACGTGCTCTGTGCCACATAAACGGAACATGTCCATGCACAGACACACGACAGGACAATGGTCAGCACAAGCAGTAGAGCTATCCTGGGAGAGGTCCAATGGTTAGTGGTGTAGACACAGGGCTTGTCTCCCATACTTTACAGTCTGCTCGGATAAATTTGTCCAATTCTGGGGAGGAGATGAAGCAGCAAGGAGAGCTGAGGACTTTGTTGTTTCAAGGTTACCCAGTGAAGTTTCTCAGGCAGAGTATGAGATGTCAGGCAAAGCAAAAGGACCAATTATGAAGTGTCTGGCATTCCCACTGCCTAGTCCACAATTTGCTGGAGATTCCCTAAGGTTAGACCCAGAAGCTTTGCTGAAAGGGATGGAAGAAGGGGATGTTTCAGTATGGATTCATCTCTTCATATAGGCAAATGCTTTTCTGCATCTCAAAGAAATTGCTACCCTGACTGCTGCTGGGCTGTAACCAGTAAAAGAACTGTGCTTGTAAGGTTTTGTTTTGCATCTACAGAAAGGGAGGAAAAGAGGGAAGTGACCTGCACACAAAAAGTGGTAGCCTACCTTATTTGCATTTAAGACATCATAGGCTGTAACCCTTGTATCTCTAGGTAGGTCTTGAGAAAACTCTTGTCTGCCAACCTGAAGAGTTGACACCAATCAGGATAGATAATACTAAGCTAAATGGACCAATAGTCTGGGAATAAGGCAGTTGCCAAAGTCCTCAAGGTTCAATTGAAAATGGTCACCTATAATGCTTACATGACAGGAAAGTATGAGATGACTTTGTTGTATTTGTTGAAGGTATTTGTTGACTTTCACTAGACTGTGGCCTTTTCCAGAGATTCCCTTCTCTGGTCAGTTTTGGAATCTTCATTTCTAGATCTTCTTCCCAAGGCACTTGTCATACCAAAATAGATAATGTACCCTCCAGCTGTGGTAGCTAGCCAGAGAGCTGTGGTATATATTTTCACTTCAACTGCAATTTGACATATTTTCACACCAACAACAACTATGGAAAATAAACATTGGCAGGAAAATATTTGTTCAGCAGATTTAGACAGATATGCTGATTTTTTTTATACTTTGGATTGTTTGCCATTATCTGCTTTGTGCTAAATATAACTCACCAGCTATGGCTGCATGGCAATATATACATCTGAAACATTTGTTACAGTCCACATTAGATCCTGTTACTTTTACAGCTTCAGAACTGCCTGTCCTATTAGAAGCATTGATTGAGGCCCAACAGCAACACCAGTTTACACTTCATGTATATACACCTAAATGATAAGGAATAAATATGTTACACAGAGTCTCAACTAATAATGGACAAATGAACTGGAGAATCCCATTGTGCCCAATAAATGGATCCAGGGGCCATGAATCTTAGGCTATTCTCAATTAAAAAATGGTGTTTTGGGTATACTAGATCCCACAACATATTCTTGATAAGAGGTTAATTAAATCAATTATTGGAGGTGCAATGCTGCTTTTCCTTATACATTTTAGCAATGCCAAATGGTGCCTTCCTTTAGTGAGAAGGTAATAATTTGAATAAATCTTGTGACAGAAAGTTCTTTAACTTTTAAGGAGATACTTTTCATTTGAATTACCACCCATCTCTTGGAATTTAACGTAAGGTCAACATAAATGGTTGTCCATGCCTTTTTGACAGCTAAAAGTTTAATATTACAACACTGAGAGAAAAAATCACACAGAAGCAAGATAAATCAGGAAGTATTCTGTGTGTGGGAGGGGTGCGACTGATTCTAGGTCTTTCAATGGACAGTGATACTAGAATTATTACAGTATCCATACACAAAGCTTTGGTGATGCTAACACAATCAAGCATCCTGACATTGATAAGCTAATTAACACATGCTGAATTTTTGTCTTACTACATCTCAATTCTTGCCACAGATGACAGAATTCAATTCCTTGATAAGAGTTAATTAAGCACTGTTATGCTGGAATATGCTGGTAACAGCGTTCCATGCACTTCAGTGTTTAGTCATGCTGGCCGCAGGTCCACGGAAACTGTCTGTGGACAAATGCTGGCTACCTCGGCTAGGAAACGGAGATGAACACCACCCCCTAGGGTCAGACATGACTGGACTTTAATGTCATGGGGAAACCTTTACCTTTACTTTTACCTTCATGCTGGAATATCCCTTTAAAATTTCTTTGCTCTCCTACTGGTTTCTGACTACTGGCATTTTTATAGTCAGATTTGTAACCATTTCCTATTTTCCCTAGAGAGTAGCCTGTCTGCCCTATGTAGAATGCAGAATGGCATTGCTAGTGGATGTTAGTGTATAACTGCAGATAAAATATTGAGAATTACTTCAGCTGCAACCTATATGTAACAAGAGGTGTTCACATTTTCTTTGAAGTAGAGTACCAATCTGGATTTGTTGATCTAATTTTCTACTTTAATGGGTGGGTACTATACTCTAAGAAAGTTTTAGTGTTCATCTTAAAGTTGCGAGATCTGCGGAATCAGAATAAGTGCACTTGTATCACAGGACATCAATGTAAAATAATGGACTATGTGGTTGTCCAAGTTGGAAGCATGGGGCTATATATAATGGTCAATAGGTTCTCAATATAGTGGTACTTATATGTCCATTATGTAGTTGCACAGCAGTGCCCACATAATTCACCTGCTATGTAAACATGTCTTGGTGCAAGCTGATGGTGGAGTAAAAGTTGCTGAAGTCTTGGTGGAACTTCTCAAGTGTTCCTTTCCTTTCAGATAGGAAAGTCCAGTTAACAGACCAGCAAGGTAAAGGAGAGGCTTTAGGGGACAAAAACTGAGAAAGAGCTGCAGAAGTGATCCATAAAGGAGGGAAGAGAGTCTAAAAAGCAATATATATGCTTTTGTTTTATACTGTCACTCTGGTTCTTATTTAGGTTTCATCTAGAAATTTGGAAAAACAACCTATTATTAAATTGAACAATATAAGAGAGCATAATGCTAAGGGGCGGCTTTTATACAACTCAAATAAATAACCCATATAAGAAATTCTTTAGGAATGACATTTAGAAATTTAAACCTTAAGTAACTTCATCAAATGACAAAACCTTAGACTGTTTACTCTCTTCTTATTCCTAAATTGCTTTCCATTAACTGGAGCAAGTTAAAGTACTTCAAATATATAATGGTTTTGGGAAGTGATTCTAACCATTTCAGTGTAAAACACTCTTTTTTCTTCATTACCATTAGTTAATTTCTACTATCTTAACCAGGTTTAAACAAGAAGTCAGTGCAACCTCCATGTGATGGTACTGCAAGCCTTGCTAATGTTTTTCACATGTTGCTGCTCACACCATGAAACAGGCACATCTTTCTGATGTTCTCATAAAAATGCAGGAGGAAGCAGCAGTCTCCTGGGTACATGATTATTCATGCAAGAGTCACAATAAACTAGAAGTGGTGAAGTATGGTGATAGATGGCAAATTCATCAGCATTTCTAAATTGACAAAGGCTCAGTCAGAAAGATATTTTAGAAGAGGCATAATTAGAAAAAGGGCTTATTATAGGCAGTGGGGGTATTGAGTTACTACATGTGAATTGTTGCAAAATACTGATTCCATACTGCAAGACTGAATTCCTCAAGCACTTGTCCTGCAGGATAAGGCAGTCTGTGCAAGATTCAATGAAGAAGGTTTTCTGAAAAAATTAGAAATGGAAAAATTTCCAATGCAGACTAAGTTCCTTTACATAGGATCATTTCCATTAGGAATTTTAAAGTTTGCATAGGAAAATATTCTGATACCCTAGAGGGGTTTAGTCTGGCATGCTTCTTTTACTTATGCTTTGTAATGAAACAAAACAAAACACCACAGTTGATAAACAAAACTTTAAAAAGTACTCTATGTTAACATTTTATCGTAATATATCAGAAGTATTTGACTCAAACCCTGCATCACCAGCAAGGCTGTCCATAATGATTATTCAAAAGCTTCTACTTGTTCACTACATGGCAGCCCATCTTAAGATATTATCAGCCTTCAGCCTGTCAGTGCATTTGCATGGGGACTGGACAGGGAGACCAGAATAATTCAACAAGTCTAACACTTTACATAAAAATTTGGACTACAGTCCCAGCAAAGACAAAAGACATGGGGATTCTGGATCTGACACCTCTAGTTAAAAGAACTTTGGGTAGCAAGACTCAAAAAGATCTCTCCCAGCATGGGACATTTGAGACAGAAATGCCAACTTTCCCTTTTTACAAGCCTAAGTATTCCATATTTGAAGTATACCAGGTGCATAAACTTGCAATTGAAGCCCAGCCAGCTTACTAATGACATAAGTATAACTATTTCCCTGAACCAAACTGCATAATACTGTTGCCAATATGAAGAGTTCATGGCGCTGGTGTGGCCTACTGCCCTCAAAGGTTTGCGAACATCCACTACAACAACTTGACTTCTGTTGCTCAATTTTTTCTACCCACTGTTACTGAAACTCCCTGAATGCAGAAGTATGTGAAGGAGATTCAAAATAATGCTTTAAAACTATGTTTCAGGCATAAAGACTTCAAACATTCATGGTCCTAAGGGAAAGACAAATGACAATAGCAGCATATGAGAAAATACATAGAGTTTATTAAGGACAGTCACAGCAGCAAGAATGCTGCATCATTATACTTTTCTTAGAGTCTGACTCTTCTGTGTCATCTAAGTTGAAGGAAAGACTATAGAAACACACGATTGTGAACTTTCCCTTTCTATAGACCTAAGAACACCATTTTATCAATCAACAATGCATTGAAACATTGATATTTGTTTTGGTGAAAGTAACACCTTTCTGATTAACTTGAAATACAAGTAACCAAAGAATGGACAAATATTTTACACTCGGTTGTATTTTATTTACTTAATAATTCCCACTTGCTGGCAAATACAT